CGACTAACTGATCCCGTCGTCTGCCAGCACAATCTTGGGAAAGAAATAGCTAAAAATCACCAAATTTGAATCATTTAGTTTCCTAAAAAATTCCTCCTTCACATTTCTTGGTTCGGGATAGGAATCAACATTGGCTAGTGAAGTGGTGAATTCGGACCGGCTAGAGTGAACCGTGAACTGGTAGTGCTCCAGTTGAAGAGGTTACAGCGGTCTGGATCACCTGCTGAGATTACGAAAGGGGCTGAATCCCCCGGTAGAACTCCGAAGCTTAAGTTAGTTCGGGATTGGGAAAATAATTTAATATAGAGAGGATCAGTATATGATTTTTACCAGGAAATTGGTCATCCCCCTTCTCAATAGAAGCCTTGAGTATTTATAGAGGATGGACAGGAAAGAGGGACTGCTTGCACTGGTCCCTAGAGATCTGGCAGGGTCAGCGCATCAAGGTGATTTGATGGGCTCTGCGAAAAGGTGCGCCAGAACAGTCGTGTGTCAGGCGGCGCATGTCAGAGCAGCTTTATCAGAGGTGTCAGAGGTCATGTTCAACAACTCCGGTTGTCAGGTCATTATACTTCACTTCAGCTTTATGAGGGAAAGCCTTGGCCGAGGCGGTAATTGGGCCGAAGTCAATTCCCAATGATGATAGGCCGAGGCGGTCGGAACCGAAGTACTTCAGGACGGGACCCCCAGCGCTATCCGAGCTGGAAATACCCTCCTCACTAAACCCCCCAAACCTTGGGAAGGGCGAGGTCATGGCATTCCGAGGTAGCTATTTCCCGAGGCTGACAAGTGTCTAGGACACGGAACGTCGGGACACGTCATGACCACACGGATGGGGCTGGATGAGGAGTGAAAGGACGGCTGTTAGCTTTAATGATGAATCCATGGATGGACGTGAAATCAACGGTCAGATGAACAATGTCCTCATTAATGAGGAGAGAGGTTGTGCCCTCGAGAACCCCAAAGGTTCCGCCTTTTCACCTTCCCCCTGTTAGCCTATAAATAGGGGTCCCTTTTTACCATTTCACTCTTTACCAGAAATTCAAAATCACCCCAAAGCTTCGTTTCTTTGTCTTTTCACCTCGGCAACCTCATAAACAACATCTTCAAGTAAGTCTCTCTTCTTTTCTCTAGTAATGGCTAGGACAGCCCGCACTCACAAAGAAACGGTGAGGCCCGACTTCACCGAAGCAGAGAGGCCTGAACCTTCCGAAGAGAGAACTGTTTCTGAGGCAGGGGAAGGGGGGGCCGAAGCGTCTCATCAGGTCGGGATACCCCAGGAAAAAAATGAGGAAACCGAGGTCGAAGCGGAGGTCCTCTACAACGATGACCTCGGCGACGAAGTTCCTAGGGATGTGGGAGTGCAAGAACCAGCCATCCCTCCGAACTTGGCGGCTATTGACTACGGCATAGTCCTTATGTTCGGCAGCGTAATGAATCGAGCCGTAATTGCCGAGGTGGTCCGCCAGTATCCCTGGAGGAGGGACTACAGCATCTATCCCCCTCGGCCGGACCAGTCAGCCGAGCTCCCTCCCCGAGGTAGAGTGGCCATATACCTCGACCAGTTGGAGGCCGGGCTAAGGATGCCGACCACGAGGTTTCTCCGGGACTGTCTGAGATATTGGGGAGTGAGAATCACTCAGCTCACCCCTAATGCGATCCGGGTCCTGGTCGGCTTCCAAATGTTGTGCCGACATCAGGAGATAACTCCCACAGTCAACCTCTTCCGTCGCTGCTACTCACTCAAGAATAGTAGGACTGAAAAGGGATGGTACTACTTCGGGAACAAGGTCCCGAAGTTAGTGGTAGATGCACCCTCTTCCATCAAGAAGTGGAAGAGGAACTTCATTTTTGTCCCGGCTGATGACTTCCCTAGAGGGTTCTGGTGGAGGCCCCCTACCCCGGTCAAAGAGACCTCTCCGGGTAAATTGGAGGAGGGCAACTTCAGAAAGCTGACGGAGTCGGGCCTCTGGATCAACTGTTGGGATTTTTTCGAGGCAGTTCTTGTTGACGGCGGTATCAGCCGAGCTCTCATCAGCCCGGATCGTCCGCCATTCTATTCTAATAGGCTTGAAAAACATTGTACTTCCTTACTCCTTACTTTGTTTATTTTTCCTTGATTCTAACTAACTTTCCCTTTATACTTCGTAGTGACGAAAGTTTCCGACCTGATCACCGCGGGGGCTTCCGGGGTAAACAAGAGGTCATTCAAGCGTAAGGACCCGGCCGAACCGTCCACTCGGCCGAAGAAGAAGAAGACCCCGGCTCAAACCACTACGGCCACGACGAGCCGGAGGTCTCCCGTGATAATCACCGGGGAGGGCTCCCGCACTTCGACAATTCCAGCCGGGGTGGGCCGCACTTCGGCCATTCCAGTTGGGGTGCCCATCAGAGGGGTAACCATAACTTCTCCACCCCGGGGCAGAGGGACAACAGCGTTTCCCGTAGTTTCAGTGACGGGGTCCTCCCTTTTCAATCTTCACAACGTGCCCTCACAAGAAGCCGGGGAGGATAAAAGGCACTCCGGCGCTCAATGGTGTCCGGAGTGGGAGCTCAACGTGAACGACCGCTGCCAGAATCCCTTGGTCGCTCAGGAGCTTCTGATCCATTCAGTTCTGCCCAGGGATAACACCTATGCCAGGAAGCTCACTCCAGGCGAACTGATGCAAAGTGCCTCCGTCTCCTGGGCTTCCACCACAGCTTTCCTCGCCGAACTGACTCAACACTATACTAGGCTGGTCAAAAACTATCAACCTTCGTCTGAGCTGGAGAAGAAGGTTGCCGAGCTGGAGGAGAAGCTGAAAGCGACCGAGCAGGAACGTGATAAGGCCGAGGCAGCGCGAGAACAGGCCGAGGCTACCAAGAACTCCTTGATGACTGCCCTTGCCGAAGAAAAAGATAGAAGGGCTCAGGAGGAAGAGTCAACTAAGGCGGCCATTGAAGAAGCTGGGACCACAGCGCTGGAGGCCTTCCGAAAATTGGAGGGTTTTCTCAAGGATCTTGGCGAGCTCACCTTGCCGAGTTTCATGTTCGGATACACCTCGGCAGTTCATGATGCGGCTCCCTTCCTCACTCCGGAACAGTTGGAGTCCCTTCACGACAAGGATAATTTTAACGAGGATGCCAAGGAACTGTTCGACCGCATGGCCGAAGGCATCCGGACTGGAAGAGATCTGGCCGAGGTGAAGGAAGAGTTCAATAAATGGTTGTCTGAATTTGATCTGGATGGGGCCGAACTCCATGGCGACGACGACGGCAGTGATGGCGGAGATGACGACGGCACTGATGGCGGAGGCGGCGAGGCTGAGGCAACCGGGGACAACCAGGAAGCCGGGGCAGGGGGTGCGTAGGTGGTAGGCTTATTTTTATTAAGTCGCCGAGGTGACGGGTTCATACCCGACCTCGGTACTATGTAACTTGTTTTTATCATTAATACAATGACTTTCAATTTTCACTTCTCTTTTATTCAATCTCGGCTAATATACACGTTCTGTCCTCTTATTTTTTTATTTAGAATAGCATGAAATAATTCTAAGGAAGAAATAACAGATGAGTTGAATAAATAATAGAGTACATACCCTTTAGGGGTGATACAATCTGAGGTTCTCAGCGTGCCAAGTTCGGAGCACCCGAGAACCATCCCGGTAAGCTAATTTACAATATCCATTTTGGCTAGACTCGACAATACGGTAGGGTCCCTCCCACTTGGGACTGAGTTTTCCCTGAGATTCAGCTCGGCTGACAGAATTCTTCCGGAGCACTTGGTCTCCCGGACTGAACCGTAGGTGTTTTACTCGGGCATTGTAATAACTAGTTAGGATATTTTTGTAAATAGCGACTTTAACTGCCGCCATGTCACGCTTCTCTTCGGCGAGGTCGAGGTCAACCCGCCGCTCTTCTTCATTAACTTCGACAGCATACGCGCCAATTCTTGGGCTCGGCGTGATGAACTCGGCCGGAACGACCGCTTCGGACCCATAGGTTAAAGAGAACGGCGTCTCTTGTGTTGCCGACCTCGGGGTGGTCCTGTAAGACCACAACACACTTGGAAGCTCCTCCATCCAGGACGATCCGGCTCAATGTAGCCTAGTTTTGAGGCCATGGAGGAGAGTGCGGTTAAAATTTTCGGCCTGCCCATTGGCCTGGGGGTGTCCAACCGAGGTGAAATGTTGTTTGATTCCAAGGTTTTCACACCACGCCTTGAAGGGATTATCAGCGAACTGCTTGCCGTTATCCGAGATCACCACCCGAGGCAGGCCGAAGCGGCAAACCACGTTCTTTCAGAAAAATTTTTGAACGGCGGCCCCAGTGATGCTCTTCAGGGGCTCGGCTTCTACCCATTTGGTGAAGTAATCCACCGCCACTGCCACATAGGCATAATTACCAGGGGCTCTGGGGAATGGGCCGATTATATCAGTCCCCCATTGTTCAAACGGTCATGGCGAGGTGATGGGGATCATGAGGTTGGTCGGCTGGTAGTGCTCAGGGACGTGATGTTGGCAAGCATGACAGCTAAGAACCAGGATTTGGGCATTTACCCTCATGGTGGGCCAGAAATACCCTAGCAACAAAACTTTTTTGACGAGCATCCTATAGCCGACGTGAGCACCACAGAGTCCGTCGTGTATATCCTGGAGAACTCTTTGGCCTTCTTCGGGTGTGATACACCGTAGCCACGGGGCGAGGTAGGACCTTTTGTACAATAGATTTTGTCGAAGGGCATACCTAGCTACTTTGCGCTGAAGCTTTCTTGATTCAGCTCGGTCATCAGGGAGCTCCCCCCGACTGAGAAATCGGATCAAGGGGCCCATCCAGGTGTCACCGGGGTAAACGGGGCACACTACTTCTTCTATGTACCCCGGTTCGGCTAAGACTTCCACAAGTACCGACCTGTTCAAGTCAGAGAATGAGGTGGAGGCGAGTCGAGAGAGGGCGTCAGCTCGTTTGTTTTGAAATCGTGGTATCCTTTGAATTTCAAAAGACTCGAAGTGTGAGATCAACTAGTGGACCTTGGAGAGGTAGCGATGCATGACCTCCTCTCTGGCCTCATATTCACCCAATATCTGGCACACAACGAGTTGGGAGTTACTGTAAACCAAGATGTGCCCGACGCCGAGCTTGCGGGCTAGCTGGAGTCCAGCAATGACTGCCTCGTATTCGGCTTCGTTATTGGAAGCAACGAAGTCAAACCTTAAGGCATATGAGCACACCTCCCCCTGGAGGTCTTCGAGGAGCAAACCTGCTCCACTACCCTCGCTGTTAGACGAGCCATCCACATGCAGGATCCACCGTTGAGGTTCGGCCGTGGCCGGAGTTTTAGCCGAGATATTCTCATTTGCCTCATCAAAAGTGAGCTCGGCTAAGAAGTCCGCGAGAGCCTGAGCCTTGATTGCTGTACGAGGTTCATAAGACAAGTCGTACTCCCCCAATTCGATGGCCCATTTAGTGAGGCGCCCGGAAGCCTCTGGCCGGGATAAGACTTGTCTGAGGGGTTGGTCGGTGCTCAGACAAATGTGGTGAGCTAAAAAGTAGGGTTTGAGCCTGCGAGCTGCGTGGATCAAAGCCAGTACGAGTTTCTTCGCCTGGGTATACCTAGTTTCCGGACCCCGGAGGACTCGGCTGACATAATAGACTGGCATCTGTATCCCCTCCTCCCTTATCAGCACTGCGCTTACTGCCTCGGCAGCAGCAGACAGGTACAAGAACAGCTTGTCCCCTGGCCGAGGCGAAGTGAGTGTTGGGAGGTGATGAAGGTATCCTTTTAGTTGCTCAAAGGCCTGTTGACATTTCGCAGTCCAGGAGAAGCTGTCGGCCTTCTTGAGAATCTTGAAGAAGGGTAATGCCTTGGAGGCTGACTGTGACAGAAACCGGTTCAGGGCTGCCAACCGCCTCGTAAGCCTCTACACGTCGCGAATACACCGAGGTGGAGACATCTCCTAGATCGCTCTCACCTTATCAGGATTTGCCTCTATACCTCGTCGGGAGACGAGGTAGCCCAAAAATTTTCCCGAGGTGACCCCAAAGATACATTTTTTGGGGTTTAGCATCATCCGGATTTTCCGGAGGATCTCAAGGACTTCCCTCAGGTCGGAAAGGAAAGTGGAGGTCGTTTGACTCTTAAGGAGGACGTCATCCACGTAGGCTTCGATATTTCGCCCGATCTGGGACTTGAAAGCCTGGTTGACCAGGCGTTGATACATTGCCCCGGCATTCTTCAGCCCGAAGGGCATGGTGGTGTAGCAGTATGTGCCTCGGTCAGTGTAGAAAGTTGTCTTCTCCTGGTCCTCTGGACTCATTCCGATCTGGTGATACCCCTTGAAGACATCAAGGAAACAGAGGACCTCATAACCCATCGCCGAGTCCACCAAGGTGTCGACCTTGGGCAATGGGTAGTAGTCTTTGGGGCAGGTCTTATTGAGATCGGTGAAGTCGACGCACATCCTCCAAGCCCCCGCGTCCTTCTTGACCATGACCGGGTTGGATAACCAGATCGGATACTGGACCTCCCGGATTATCTTTGCGGGTAGGAGCTTGTCCACTTCTTCTCCCACAGCTCGGCTGCGCTTAGGGCCGATGTGCCTTCTTTTCTGTTTGACTGGGCGGGCTTGGGGATCGACATTCAGCTCATGTATCATGAGGTGATGCGGGACTCCATGGGCCTCATCTGCGGCCCAGGCGAAGACGTCACGGTATTCTCTGAGGAGATCCACCATCCCTTTCTTAATTGGGCCAGGCAGACGGATACCGATGCGGACGATCTGATTTGGTTTTGTGGGACTCAAGGAGACTTCTTTCATCTCGTCCCCCGTCTCCAGCCTCGGGAACTTCTCAGCTTGCTGAGGGTCGAGGCAATCTATCGACAGGATGTCTGACCTCTTCTCGGACCTTCTATCAGAGGTCATTGGAGAGGCCGCTTGCAAAGTGGCGAGGTAGCATTTTCGGGCAGCGCAGACATCGCTGCTTACTTCGGCGACCCCTGCGGGGGTTGGAAACTTAAAACTCAAGTGGTATGTAGAGTATACCGCTCGCAGAGCGTTGAGCGTAGGTCGGTCCAGGAGTAGGTTGTACGGGGAGTCAGCTTTAACCACCACGAAGTTGACTGGGATGGTTCGACACCGGAGATGATGCCCCACAGTCACTGTCAACGTTATCACCCATTCGGGATGCACAACGTGCCCCCCGAACCCTACCAGGGGGGTTCTTACCGGGGTCATGCTTTCCCTGGCCAGTTTGAGGTTATCAAACGTGCGGAGGTACATGACGTCCACCGAACTTCCCGGGTCAATGTCGACTTTCTTCACGATATAATTGTTGGTGAGCACTTCAATCACCAAAGCCTCGTGACTGCTGGAGGCTGCTGGGACAGGATCGCCGGGTCCATAAGAGATCACCTCGGATAGGCGAGAGCTTGATTCGGTCTGATCCGGGTTGGCTTGCCTGTAGGTACTCTTCCGGGAGTTCTGACTATCTCCTCCCGTTGGACCTCCGGCGATTGTATTGATGACCCCGGCTATGTTGGATCTATATCCTAATTCGTGACCCGAAGATCCGTCTCGGGGAAGCCTTTTCGTCTCCCTAGGATCCTTCGGGGGCCTACAACTGTTTCTCGACGTCCGCCTTTCGTCTCGGCATTGATCACCCCGGTTGTCACGTCGAGGCTCATTACGAGGTTGACCTCCACCTCGGCGGATAAACTGCTTCAGGTGTCCCTGTCTGATGAGGTTCTCGATCTCCCTTTTGAGGTCGTTGCAGTTCTCGGTTTCATGCCCGATATCCCGGTGATACAGACTGTAGAGGTTCGAGTTCCTCTTATCCCTGCTGCCGAACATTTTGGGAGGGGCCTTTCCGAGGTTGTTCTGCTCCATTACGGACAACACCCGGGATCGGGTGGTGTTCAGGGGGATTAACTCGGACTCAGGGATGGGTGGCTTCCCCTTGGAAATCCTGTCGAAAATGCTACGGCGGTCTCGGTCAGGACTTTGGAAGGCACTCCCTGACCCCACTTCACTTCGGCCAAGATCTTTCCCCTTTCTGGGGTCTACCTTCGGACGAGCAGTTTGGACCTCCTTCTTCATGCGGTTGAGGTCCTCGGTCTGGATGCCCTTCTCGACCTTCAACCACAATTCGTGGAGTGAGTGGGGATACTTCTTGTGGATCCCCGTATTGAATACCCCGACAACGAGCCCATGGGTGAAAGCAGCAATGGTGACCTGCTCATTAGGGTTAGGTATCTGTACGCTTTCTTCGTGGAACCTCTGGACGTACGACCGAAGTGATTCTCCCGGGTTCTGTTGCATATTCAACAGATAAGCCGAGGTTCTGGTCGTAGGCCGGGAGGAGACGAACCGGTGAAGAAATTTCTCCACTAATTCCCCCAGGGTTGAAATGCTCCTAAGTTCTAAACCCCAGAACCATTTTCGGGCTGTCCCCTGGAGGAATATTGGGAAAGCTCGGCATATGACGGGGTCAGGGATGCAATATAGGCGGAAGGCCGAAATGAAAGCATGAATGTGGTCTTCAGGATCTCCTCGGCCGTCGTAAGATGGTATCGAGGGAAGTTTGAAATTGGGAGGAAGCCTCTTCTCGTTGATGTCATCCGTGAAGGGTGGAGCCCTCTAGTAATCCACCCCAACTCTCTCCATGGGTCGAGATTCCTCAGGTCGTCGGCCCAAGAGCCCTCTTGACAAAGACCTGGTCAGGGAGGTTACCTTAGAAGTGGCCTTGGAGAATGCTTTCTTCGAAGCACTACGGCTCAAGCGTCTCCCGTCGGATTCTTCTTCGGACGAACCTTCAGGAGATCCAACCGACTTCCTTTTAGAGGACTCGGCATTTTGCTTGCCTTGTCTCTTAAGATACCTCCCTAACTCCTCGAAAATGTTAGGGTTCTCGGTCACAAACTCGGCCATACGGGTTATGGCTTCTTCGTTTGCGGGCTGGGTCCTTGGGGATTCCTGCCCTTCAGAAATATCTTCTTGCTGAGCCGCATTACTTTGCTCAACCCCAATAGTGAGAGCTTTCCTGCTCCTAGAACGCGTAGGCTTCATTCTCTGATGTTTTCGCGTTCCCACAGACGGCGCCAATTGAAGTGGTGAATTCGGACCGGCTAGAGTGAACCGTGAACTGGTAGTGCTCCAGTTGAAGAGGTCACATCGGTTTGGATCACCTGCTTAGGTTACGAAAGGGGCTGAATCCCCCGGTAGAACTCCAAATCTTAAGTTAGTTCGGGATTGGGAAAATAATTTAATATAGAGAGGATCAGTATATGATTTTTACCAGGAAATTGGTCATCCCCCTTCTCTGTAGAAGTCTTGAGTATTTATAGAGGATGGACAGGAAAGAGGGACTGCTTGCACTGGTCCCTAGAGATCTGGCAGGGTCAGCGCATCAAGGTGATTTGATGGGCTCTGCGGAAAGGTGCGCCGGAACAGTCGTGTGTCAGGCGGCGTATGTCAGAGCAGCTTTATCAGAGGTGTCAAAGGTCATGTTCCATAACTCCGGTTGTCAGGTCATTATACTTCACTTCGGCTTTATGAGGGAAAGCCTTGGCCAAGGCGGTAATTGGGCCGAAGTCAATTCCCGATGATGATAGGCCGAGGCGGTCGGAACCGAAGTACTTCAGGACGGGACCCCCAGCGCTATCCGAGTTGGAAATACCCTCCTCACCTAGCCTCCAAAATCCTTTAGAAAAGAACCGAGTAGAAATATAGAAAAATCCATACTTCTAGTGCTTTATTGAGGTCGAAGCACTACCAAGGGTCTCATAAGAGGATGGGTGCCGAAGTAAAACCATCAATTGTCCTGAATTTTGCACATGATGGTGTAGAACCTCCAAAATAAACCGATCAAGACTTCTATCTCAAGGTGCTTACACATCATCTCAAAACTTATAAGGATGCGGACGGCATTCAGTACCAACTAGGTGATTTGGACCCTCCAGTAAAAGAGATTCGCACGGAAGAACCTCATCAAGAGAAGTCTCAACCCGATCTTCACATGTTCATGATAGATCACTACATAGTCAGTGGGAGGTCAGCAAGCTCCACGCCTCTCTAGAGGACCATTGCTTACAAACTAGGAGGCCAAGATAGTGGTCCAATATATTTTGGACATTTTGTCGTGAAACATAATGTAGACACCAAAATTTCATTTATTTAATACAATTTTTGTTTTATTTGTTTATTTAATTCAATTTTAGCTTTATTCTTTTATTTTTATTTTTATTTTATTATTATTTATTATTATTATTATTATTTATTTTTGTTTTCATTTTTTATTATTTTATTTTAATTGATTTAAGGTGGCAAAATAGTAATTGGTGTTTGTTTTTATTTTGGTACATGCATTTAGATTCATCATTTTCTTTTCTTTTTAAAACATTTTTTACACTAAATTTTGAGAAAAAGAAAATTCTTAATAAATCCATTTTTATCTTTTTCAAACTCAATTTTTGCTAAATAAAATGACATTTTATAAGGTAATTAGAAATTAGTATTTATTTATCATAAATTGGTTTTTGAAAAGAAAGAAAAATACAAAACAAAAATAATAGATGACACACATGCAATAGGGCCAAGTGGGGCACATGCAATAGGGACAAGTGTCTCTTTATTTCTTTGACAACATAACACCTAGAAGGTGAGGTGTTAGGAGACATGGAGGCCTAAGGAAATTTGAGAGAAAAATAAGAAAAGGGGGCAAGGGGCGGCTGGAAAAAAAGAAAAAACTAGCTACGAAAAAAAAGGAAGAAAAGGAAAGGCAAGCAAAAAGGAAGAGGCTACGGGTTTGAAGAAAAGGCAGCAAGGGAAACCAGAAAAAAAGACTGGAAAAAAGAGAGGAATCTATGGGCTGAGGTTTGAGAGAAAAAGAAAGAAGGAAAAAGAAAGAGCCGAGAGAGGGAAGCTTCGGGAACCAAGCAAAGGAAAAAGAGGGAACCGAGGAAAAGAGGAGAAAAGGGTTTTCGGCTGGAGCAAGGAAAAGAGGGATTGAGAGAGAGGAGCTGGGTGAGAGCTTCGGAAGGCAAGCAAGGGAAAGAGACAAGCGAGGGAGGAGAGGAAAGAACTAGGAGGGGAAAAGAAACCGAGAGAGAAAGAGAGAGTTTTGAAAAAAAAGAAGGAAAAACTGAAAAGGGAGCAGGAGAGGAGATCTGGGGGAAGATTAGAACAGGAAAACGGCAAAAGAAAACGAAGAAAGAGAGAACGGGAGGAAGAAAGAAAATTTTGCAGAAATCCTTTTTTGGATCAGGCTGATTGTCTGCTATATTGGGCTACAATTTTTCCAATCAAATCGATCTCTTTTTGGGCGGTTTGAGCAATCTGGGATATCTACAACATGAGGGGAAGAATTTTTGTTCAGGGATTTTTCTGAAATACTACCAGGAAGGTATCCAAATCGAGGCTCAAACTCAGAAGCTCGAAAGTTCCGGTCTTTTCTGGGTCTACTCAAAAGAGGTTTTTCCTTTAGTTTGTTCGACTGCTGGAGGATCTTGCACGTCCAGATCAAATTGTGACGCAACAGTAAACTCTTTTCTCTCTTAATTAGAATACCAGCAGGCGTAAATCCTTAGTTTTTTCTTTCATCATGCCACTGTTGGATTCTGAGTGATGTTTTCTTGCTGCTCGATTATTTCATCACTTGACTCCCTTGCGTTGTGGTTGAGTTTGGCTATTGACAAGAGACTGGGAGCTAGTTGATTGGCCTGGTCATGGTGAAATAAGTTGCATTTTGTTTAAAACTTTGAAAACCAAGCCTAAACCTATGATGTATCAGAAAATTTTGCGTTTCCTCTCAATGGTTAAGCTTATCCCTGTCTTTCCCCTGTTAACTGTCATGGTTGTGGTTGTTTAAGTCTAGAAAGCGTCCAGTTAAAGTTTTTTCTAGAAGAAGGAAGTTTTGCTTAAATCTGTCTTTCGAATCTGTGGGTTTCTTGTGAAAATAGACAGCAATTCATTCGCTAGTTCTTATGCACTGTTTTCTCTTGTTTGTTTCTTCCATTTCATGGGTTCCCTCCGTTGCATGCTTTTCTTTGAATAACTGGTCGGATATTGAGATTCTCTTTGATGAATGTGAGTCATGCCCTGATGTGTTTTTCCATTTCTTTGTTGGTTACTTGCATGTCCACATTTCTGTCCTTCTTGTTCTCCTTGCTTGCATTCTGCTTGTAATGTCTTAAGTCTGTCCCTCGTGCCTCAAGGTTTTCTCTCTTGTTGCATGAAACAGAGAGTTCCATGTTAGCTGGAACCATTTTTTTGTCAAAATGCTGCACGGTTCGCAACTCATGAAGTTCGCAGCTTATAAAGTTGTTACACAGCAACTCACAAGCTCCACACTCATTTGCATTTGTTAGCATTGAAGTTTATCATTTGGTTTGTGATTGTTTCATCATATTAGTTTCCAGTTCTCCAAGCGTATGAAGAAAAGTTGTTGTTTCGCTTTCAATTTGATCACTTGCTGTTTTTTTATGCTGGTTCAATAGTGTTGTTTCTTTCTTTCATTTTCCTCTTTCTGTGGGCAAATTACCTTGAGTTTGTAAAATAAGTTCATGGATTCCGTTTGAGTTTGCTCGAATATTTGTGTTCAATAAGCTGCTAAGAAGATTGCATTCCTGTGACTGCATTTTGTTACTTGTTGGGGTGTTGATTTGTTGTGCTTCGTTGCTCCAAAATCAAAAGTTGATGTGGGGTTGAGACCCAAGTTGTGTTTAACAAAGAACGAGTACTGTAAATCCATGAAACTGCAGAACCCAAAAACCAGCAATGAGGAAGAAAGCTTCAGCGAAGCATGCATGAATAAGTTCTGAAAATTACACTTTAACCCCTTAAATTTTTTATCTATTTATGTTATGGCTCAAAAACTTTTCAAATTGAACCAATTTTACCCTTTTTTGACTTCATTTCTTTTTTCCATGTTTTAGTGGTTCATTGGGTAGATTAATGCTGGAATTTAGGATAGTTGGAGTTAAATATTATTACTTAATTTTTCTTTGTTTGAATTTTGTAAAAATAGTTTAGACTTGGGTAATATTTTGTTTGGGGTTTAGTGAGAGGGGTTTTGATTTATTTTTGTGAATTTTATCATTTGGTTTTGATAGGTATCATCTTAAGCCCTTAATTTCATTTTTATTCTTATTTAGACCCTAACATTTGTAATAATAATAATTTGATCCCTTAAACTTCTTTAATTCTTTCAATTGGGTCCTTATTTGTTTTAATTTGTTGAATATGGGTTGTTTACTTTTATTTGAATGCTTTGATTGATTCAATTTCATGTTTATTCTCATCTTTTATAATTATTTGTTAATTAAAGTGATACCTTGACCCTTTTCTTTGTTTTGGGGTGGGATGATTTCATGTTTTAATTCAAGGGAGGTACACTCTACTCCTTTATTTTGATTTTACTTGATCCTATGTGCTACTATGTGATTTTACGTGCGAAATTGCATGCTTGTTTGAATGTTTTTTATTATTTCAGTTATTTCTTTATTCACTTTACTTATTTTAATTTTGTATATTTATCTTAATTTAATTTTGGTCATTTGAGAGGCATTTAAATGTCAAGATGTAATAGTTAGATATTTTATTTTGTTTTATTCCTTCCCCCCTTTAGATTATAGTTAGGGCCCCCAAATGTAATAGTTAGGGTTTTATTTACTTTATTTGTTTTATGTGTTTTGCACGCTTGTGTGTTACGTGTTACTCGCTTTCTTAGGGCCTTGCATCTAGATACCATGCTTATGTGCTATGTGTTTTATGTGATTTATGTGTTTATTTGCTTTATTATGTTTTATATGATTTATTTGATTGTAATAAATGCATGAAGTCACCATACTAGTCCAACGCTAGTTGTGGCATATTTTTTTCGATTCTACACTAGTCCAATGCTAGTTGTGGCCCTTTGTGCCGATTTCTCGCTAGTTCAATGCTAGTGAGAACTTATAGACGTGAGCTAATCCAATGTTAGACCCTTAGGGACCGTTCACGTGTTAGACCATCTTTGTGTGACACAATCACTACATTTTCATGCATATTTTTCACTTTTTAGGTTTTTA